GGAGGTGGCTGTAAAGAATCTATCATAAAGTCGATCGGGGATATCACGGCAGAAACCAAAGGTAAATGTTTACACCACAATGTCCATGTCGAGTTGTACTTTGCAAAATTGAGCATCAGTCAACGGTCTACTCGGACTTTCTTTCACTGATGCTGAGTTGATATGTCTTTAGGCGGGTGAAATATTGTGTAAATGGGTACGTTTATAATTCGCATTTGCGGCGTAAGCTTTCGGCATCCACGGTACATTAATAATGGAAATTATGATTTTTTCGATCGCTGCTGCTACAAGCGCAAGCGGCGCTTCTTAATTATTATGTGCTTTAAAATCGATCATTGGCCGACTTTGTCGCTCTCACTTTTGCTATTGGTGAGGGCGGAAAGATTATTTGTATAGGCATCTGTGGGTGTCAAACTACCGGCTATCTAGCACCGTACCGTATTCTTGTTAGCGTGTGGCCACACCATGCCCTTCTGGCGTGACACCCCTCCTGTTATCAGGGTATGTGTAACCACGTTAAACTCTTCCCCATTAAAATTGAAAACATTCACAGTTCCAATCAATTATCGCCTCAACGAGGCGTGTCCGTTAGACACTGCGTCAAATCGAAACGACTTTCCGTGCTCAATGATCCCTGTATCAATGACACCAAAGTCTCCAAGTTTCGCCGGTTCTGACGGCGAACACGGGCAGAGCCCAACTTCGTCTCCCACACGCGGTGCAACGTCGAACAGTGCATCCGCAGCACCGAGGAATTTAGATCCTAGGCTCGATGCGCACAAGCGTCGCGCTTCGCGCACGCTTTTAGTGTCGAGTGCCCTCGTTGAGGATACGGATGTCGTCGACTACGAGTCTGACACTCCTTTTCCCGCATGGAATATCGAGGAAGGCGAGCTGCACCAAGAGTAGAAGACGAGCCCTGCTCGCGCCTTGCGGACTCCATGTCCGTTCCCTGCCTTCTCGATAAACGAGGGACGTGGTGTAATTACCAATGACCTCGGCGGGCTCAGAGGCGGCAGCTGGAAGCTGCCCATAAGGCGGCTTTGAAGCGCGCCCATCC